AGAATTATATGTTTATCTCTGTGTGTAGTATAACATTAAGTATAATTGTTAAAGCTGTTTTGGAAATATAGCTTCATTGTTATTCTATTACAAACTAAGAAATTTTTGTCATATTTCTAAACATATTAAACCATAGCTTCAATTTCTGTATTAAAACCAAACAAAAAAGTTTTCAAATTTCACAAATGTCAGAAAAAAACATGCACCTGATTTTCTTGCAAAGAAAGATATTTTATAATAAATTTAGGCAAAGAAACATATGTTTTTGTGACAGAATCATTTATATTTGTAGCTTTCTTTTACATTGTATGAAACTCTATACAATACTTCATGTAACAATAACATCCCAGTTAGCACTTTCTAATTAGGCTACAGCAAAAATAATTTGGACTATTAATATCATTTTGAAATATATACATAGCCACAGGGGTGTTACAGAGAGAGAGGGAGAGTGAGAGAAGTTGGCCCGATATAATTTTATAGCAAATACAATATTCATATACTGTTGAACACAAACAAGTGTATTTTAAAAGAAATCATTTTTTCCCTTTGCAGAATTGCCTAGAATTTGATATTAAATCTTCATCAAAATAAGCACAGCATACAACACATTTTTTTTCAAGTACCAAGTACCTTTGGTCAGTTTTGTTAATTTAGATTTTAGTATTGTACATTTCCATGCTTCCCTATGATTTGTTTTTTAATAATCTATAACTTTCATGATAAGAAATGTTTATTTAATTTATAATGAGAAATAATCAAACTTTGTGTCTAGCCAAAATCTAAACAAAATAATGTAGAGCATTTCTAGTTTGGTTGCTATAGACTTTTCTATTTTGCCACTTAGCAGTGCACGCTGACAATCTATTACTGATTTTACTCTTTTTTTTGTTGTTGTGTTTTCTTGCTGTAGTTTCTCCCCATGATTACTGTTTCATGTTTTATTTGTTTAATTATCATTATATTTAGCAACTGTACTTTAACAATGTCCAAAGACTTATGTAAATTCATTTTATTTTGCTTTAGATACTGAAGATGGAATCTGACAGAATTCCGAAACATTTATCTATGTCCCCTTTTTGTTAATAAACAATGTTGTATATCATAAGCGTCGTAATCTTGTTTATTATCAAACTTAGTTTTCCTTCGAATACACATCAATTGCTAATCAAACTTTGTGTCTAGCCTAAATCTAAACAAATACT